TATTCTTTTTATTTCTACAAAAGATAAGTTTAAAAACATGACAATCTAAGAAATAAATAAAATATTTGCTGTAGAAAATGTTGAGAAATTAGGTGCCTAAAATAAATTAACCTGACAGTATGATGATTTACAGTCAAATTTACAGTTTTGGCTTTTTTATGTGCAGCTTGAGGCAGAGCAAGTAAGGTCAGAGATGAAGTAAATGGAATTAAATTTAGAATTCACATTTTCCTGCCTTGGATTATGTGATATATTTCAGGAAAATTTATTTTGCTAAATTACCCATGGAAATACACAAAATTAGTTTACAATAAACCAATGTAAATGGATATAAGTTATAAAAAATTCTCATCACCATGTCCTACAACTTTAAACAAGGTAAAATAATTCTCAGCTATAGAGTGCTTTTTAAACCTTCTTATGCACTTCAGAGAAGTCAAATACTTACACAAGAATGTAATCTGGCATATAAAATTTATCTTCAAAGCCAAATTGGCTTCTGGTGTCACCATCAGTCACTCTTAGGGAAAAAAGTCCACCAGTAATGAAATCCCCATCTTGATAGTAGCCAGGAGAAGCGGGTACATTTAATGAAACAATAGAATTTTTGTCCTGAGATTCAAAGAGGAAAACAACCAGCAGATAAAAAGCAACAGGTAATTTCATATTAACATTGATAAATATTAATATAATTATAAACCTCAAAAATATACTTTGTTGAGAATCCTGTCAAAAACTAATCAATGCTAAGAGTGCTTAAACAGTGCTCAAAACATGCCTCTCCAATCAGTCTGGGGCAAGGTTATAAAGGATTTGATTTGACCTGATGTTGATATGCTAATATGTAAACACCCTTTGGTTTGTGGGATTATTTCCAACTTTCATTCGTTCAGCCTACATCTCTTGTCCCATTTAGAGTTACTATATGTCTCCAAGGGGTAAAAAATCTCTAACTTTGCACCTGGTATCCATATTCTCATAAGAAAAACATTTAGTTAAAAACAAATTTTAAATAACAGAAAACTCCTAGTAATTTTATATTCTCAGTAGATTAAGAGCATCTAGAAAGGCCAACGCAAGTACAATAGATTATATGCTGAAATTATGTTGTCATGAGTCAAGGAGCTTCATATAAATAATGCTCTTATTATTATCAAACAATTAACAAAGTAGGAAGTCACAGAGATCAAGAAGAAGGGTATGAAAGGGCACAGTCAAGTACAGATGCTTCATTGAACTCCTGTGTAACATTGGACCCTTGTATAATGTTGGACAATAAAGAAATTACCCAATGTATATCTCTGCAAAAATAAGCCAAAATATTTTCATTAGATAAAATCATTTCTGATCATTTCACAGAGCCAGTTATTTAGTTATATATGTCTAAAATGTTCAATTGTATATACTTATGGGGTATAACAGAATTTTTTTTATGTTTGTTCGTGGTACTAGATAAAACTCAAGGGTCCTCTGCCACCAAGCTACATCCACAGACATTTTCATTATTTTATTTTGGGAGAGAGTCTTCCTAAAATGTCCAGGCTGGTCTTGAACTTGAAAACCTCCTCCCTCAGTCTCCCAAGATGCTAATTTATAGGCATGCTCCACTGTGCCCAGCTTAGAATATTTTGATATATGTATGCATCATGGAATGATTAACTTTTCAATTTTCATATAGTCTCTTCCCTAGCGGCATAATTATTTCAAATTGATTTACTCCACAGAAAAGAAATCAAGGGAATGTTTACAGCTAAGATCTATTATATGTGAGAATATGTTTATAGCCTTTGATCTAATAACATGTATTCCTAACTACAAACTAAACTGTACATGAAATATTACTTTTATTTTCTTCCAATCAAATTGATCTATATTATCAAATCCTATCCAACCCATTTCGTTTACTATTAAAAAGAGGGTAATATTCTCTCTAGAATTACACACATATTTCATTGCTTGGAAAATTAAGAAAAACCCACCTTTACTCTTGTCCATCTTGACTTCTTCTGATCACCATCTCATAGGTGTTCTCTGAAGGACGGTGCTGCTGATTTTGAGTCAAGTTTGAGTAAAGGCATCTGCTAATGCTGACATTCCCAGTACTAAAAGTCCTGCTTTTCCAAATTTTGCCAGGGGTACATGGATAAGATATTCATAAGTTATGACACATACAGCATTTTATCAGCATATAGAAAGACTGTACACCAAGTTATATATATCCATATTCTCAATAATTCTCAGAAAGTTGATATCTTCTGGCTCATGAAATACATGCAGTCATGTGTATAAATCTAGTAGATAAAATTACCAGTTGTGAAATTTTTAATTTACTAGATGTTATTGAAATAATTTCTAAATTGCTTGATTATCTAATGGTCCATCTAATACTTCAAATGTATACCTCTAATTCTTCTCCTAGATCCTCTTTCTGATCCTAGCATTAGGCCACATATATGATTGAAAGCACTCGGTAATAATATAAATGCAAATACTGCTTTACAAATTATCTTAGAAATTCTGAAATTTACCCATATTTCCATTAAGAGCACTCAAAAAGAAAGTTCAAATGATCTTCCAGAACCATGTTCATTTCTCTATTCTATGTCTGTGTTTTTATTTTGCTTTCATTGGGCATGTGTCAACTCCTAAAAGATAGATTATACAATTTATACATGATCTTGTAGATCAGGCAAATTTATATCAAGAGTAGATATAATTACTATTACTGATTATGCCATTATATCATTTTACTCTTTTCATGGCTAAATTTTATTTTAAATGTTTCAGAAGCAGATGAATGGGGTAATTACTTTCCAACGTACTGTAGAAAAACAAACATTTTTGTGATCTTCACTGGACAAATTTTAGAAGTGGTTTTTGAATTTTTATTCCAAATCACATTATTCATTATCTTTGTCAACATATATAAAAAAACAACTAAGCTTTTTACGAATTATGTATGGCCTTGCTTCATTATTCACTTATGAGTAAAGAAGAACAATTAAAAAATCACAGAATAAGTAAAACTTAAAGATCTTACCATTTCTGATTGATGCTTTTTGTTGGTGGTGGTACTAGGGATCGAATCCAGGGCCTTGTGCATGTGAGGTAAGCACTCTAGCAACTGAGCTATATCCCAAGCCTGATGCTATTGCTTTTGTAACTAATTATTAATTACATGTTGTGAGCAATTTAGTTCTTAATTTTCTTCAGATTTTAATTTTTAATAGCTTTGGTCAAATGTAGTCATCATGTTTTAAAATACTTCCACATCAAAGAGGTTTTTTTTTCTTTTTAGTTTGATCAAAAGAAAAATAAATTCATTGGATCACAATACTTCTTCACAAAATTATCAAAAAGTTATTATTTTATTGTTTTATTTAGAATTAAGTAACATGTAGATGTTCAACAGGATTATAGTCCAGAAGAGACAAACAGGTTTTTTTTCTGATGGTGGCACTTGCACCTTCAGTAACTCAAAAAGCTGTCTGTCTAGGTTTGGAACTCACCATGATCTGCAGACTTACTCTTAACTTAAAGGAATTTTTCTTACTTTCTTATACATTTTAACAACAGAGACATATTATTCATATGTCTAGTTGGGTATGCATTCCACTCTTATTTGGAATATTTAATCTCATTCCTCTTTACTTTGTAGCTCTATTATTTCAGTTTCCACTTTATGTGTGGAGTGATACTTTTATTTAGTGAAACATTATTTTACATCACACTGAAACATCTGATTATTTTCTAAATATCCAGCTTTTCAGTAAAACTAGAAGTTGTTTTTCAATAAAATAACTTTTTATTTCTGCTTTGGCATGTAAGGAAATTTGAAGTTATTACTATGTCTTAACAACAGGTTTAAACTGAACAGAGAAATCAACAAACTTCTTAAATCCAAAGGAGAAGAAAGTCAGAAGGCAAACCCTTGTTCACAACATTTCAGAGACCTAAAGACAAATACAGAGAATCATATCTTCTTCTAGGAGAAACTTCTTCTAGCCTCAGTTTCCCACCAAGTGGAAGAAAATGGAGATGCATCAGCAACCGTCCAGTCCAGATGCATAGGATCACCAAAGACAGATCCAATCATACAACTGTAGAATGTTTCATGTTCCCCACATCTTACCACTACATTACTAGAGACACATATATTTAGAACCTTCTTTTACACAGTAAATCATGTCTAGCTATCAAAAAAATTATAAAACATAAAAAGGCAGAAAACATGGTTTGAAGAGATAGAACAAGCATCAGAACCAGTCAGATATAGCAGGGATGTTGGCCAATCAGATAGAAAACTTAAAATATCTATGATTAATATACTAGGGGACCTAATGAACAGGCAGCATGCAAGAACAAACGGACAATTTAAGTAGAATTATGAACTTTCTTATAAAGAACAAAAAATGCTAGACATAAAAATCACTATAAGAAACGTGCATAAAGCCTTCGATGGGCTTATTAGTAGCCTTCACATGGTTGAAGAAAGAAACCCTAAGCTTAAGGATATCTCAATATAAAACTTCAAAACTGAAAAACAAACAGAAAAAAGGAAAGGAAAAAAAGAGAATATTCTAATCTGTGAGACAACTACAAGAGTTGAATATCTATTATAGGAATACCAGAAAGAAAGATAATAAATACTTGAAACAATAATGACTGAGAAATTCCCCCAAATTAATGTCTGACACACCAAAGTACAGACCCAGGATATTCAGGGAACATCAAGCAGGCAGACCAATGGAAACAGATGTGCACACACACTCATACACACTTGTACATATAAGCATAATATAATCTAACCACAGAAAATCAAAGGTAAAGAAAAATTCTGAAAGAAGGCATATAGTCTATACATATGGTAGATATTATCTTTACTGTATGTAATGTTAGTTAAATATGTATGTGGTATGTGTGTGTGTGTGTGTGTGTGTGTGTGTATATATATATATATATATATATATATATATATATATAAACATTTACATCACCATAATAAAATGCCTGATACACATCACTTATGAAGTAAAGTCAGGGTTATTTTGGCATGGTTCTGCAGGTTCAAGTCCAACATTGGACAGCCACATACATGATTTGGATCTCAGGTGAGAATGACATATTATGCCAAGAACAAAACAGAGAGAGACTTCAACAGAGGTGCCACTATCCCCATTAAGGACATACCCCAATTATCTAAGAACCTCCTACTTGGCCTCATTTCTTAAAGGTCCAAAGCACCTACCTATAGCACCACCCTGGAGACCAAGCCTTTACATTATAGACCTCTGGAGAACACTCATATAAACCATAGCAATCTGCATATATAATTTTAGAATGTTTTAAATAAATATATATAACTATAAAATGAAGAATACAAAACAAATTTCCTAATCTATTGAAGTAATACAAAGTCCCTGTGGGACAAAAGACATGGAACATCTGCATCATCAGATGTGGGGATTACCAACTCATGTGTATCATACTTCTGCTTCTTTGCACTTGGGAAATTTTAAGACAATGGATACCAATGTGATCATGTTCTTATTCTCCTATCTTTAAGAAAGGAAATGGAACCTATCAAACTAACATTCTGGTGAAGCATTACATCCTAACATCTAAAAAAATTACTTCTTCTAACATGTAAATCTATTTCTCATAGTGTAGGTTACAATAAGGAACTAAAATTTCCAAGTATATCAGGGCAATAGAATTAAAATACTTGCTCTCTCTGAGGCCTCAGGATTTGTTTCATATTGTAACAAATTGATCTGAATTTCAAAGGAGTCATGTCCATGTTGCATGAGGTTTATCAGCTAAGGTGGGTCTGTGAAATAAACCATTGTTAACACTGGATAAAAGGGATGCAAATACTCAGCACTACCATCTCAAGAGGAAGGAAGTAAAATGATAAAAGATGGAAAAAGATTCTCATAGCTAAGTCTTAAATACACCCACTATATGTCCAGCTCTCTGCTAAATGTGTGAGATTTGGAGTCCAAGCCTTCTTTTTCAGTTATCAAAAGTGTGGGTGATACAGATGAAAATTGAAATTTTGAATGCAAAGATGGACACCACACTGTCAAGGGAAAATTGGGAATGAGTTAGGTGTTGAAGAGAATGAGACTTTTTCCACCTAAAGAAAAAACTTTTTTAGGTTTTTTGCATTTCATGTCAGTCAGCCTACATGTGTTGCTGCTTAGTGTTTTGTCATTTCCTAATCTTGTTATTTCCTGGAGTGAGGAAAATAGACAAGTTGTACAGTAAACTCCCTTAATCTTATGCAAGAAGGGAAATCCTGAGTTAAATGCACAGTCACCAAACAAGCTAATCTATGTCTACTAGTGTTGAACTATCTAAAAGGAAATAAAGTGTTGATCATTCATGATTCATTTTCCCTGGAATCTTACAAACTGAACACTCCTGCACCCAGAAACTGAGAAGGGAGAGAGAAAGAAAGAGAATGAATTCATCCAAATCATCTGCACTACAATGCACAGGTAAACTTGCAACTCTTTCATTTCTTCCTTATATATTTTATTGGAAAAGGAGATAAATATGGTGAGGGGCAGGACAATAGAAAAGCACTCAGTGGAATTAAGAAAAAAAATAGGAATGAGAAGAGGAAAAAAGGAGGTTTAATGAGACAGATAGAGAGAAGGGGTGGGGAGAGAGATTGAGACTGATTAGAAGACTATATGTCATACTGGAAGCTTGTTGACTTGAATGCGAGGAGAGCTACCAGACTGCTATTTCTCCTTTCCTTTGATGCCCTGAGTCACTTCACTTCTTTGGAACTCACTTTCCTTGTCCTTAAAATGTATATTAGGAAGAGGAGGGAAGCTAATACAGGATTGTCAATGCTTTATCTAATTAATTTACAGCAAACTTGATAAAAGAGACACTGAAGAGAAAGGAGAGACAAGAAAAGCAGAAGGGATAAAAGGGAGAGAAACAAAAAGAGGCTTATAAATATGAAAGTACTTTTTTAACTAGAAGAACTAGAAGGAAAAAAAATGTATAACTGAGTTCATGAGTCAAAGTCTTAAAATTAGTGATGGATTACTCTTAAAGTGGGGTCCTCATACCAGCAGCATCTGTAACCCCTGAAAACTTGTTGGTTCCAAATGAGCTCCTCTAAATTGCTAACTCTGGGGGTAAGGCTCAGCTATCTGTTTCAGCAAGCCCAGCAGGTGATTTTGCTGCATGCTGACACTTGAGAATTACACAATACAAACAATTCCAGTAGAAAGAAAGAAGAAAAAATAAGACTCTCTTAAATCTCTGTTGTTATCTTGTCCCAGGAAGATTGACTGTGTTTGAGTCTGCCTTTCTACAGAGAGAAGATTCTTCTCTTCCCAGGCATTCTTATGGACTGTGGCCAGTGCCTCCATCCTGCTTCTCAGTGCCTGTTTTATCACCAGATGTATCGGTGGGTTCTAAAGGTCAAGTTTAATCCAATTCTCCACAATAATATTAAGAGTAAACTCTTTCTTGCTGACTCTGGCTTTTCTTCTCCTGAAACATGTATTCTATTTTGTTTTTTTTTTCCCTCTTAATCTCCGGGCTATTCTTCAAACCAGAAACCCCCAACTACTAGAGGACCATTACCAGATTTCAGTGATCTCTGGCACAGTTTTCACCTCCCTGTTGCTAGAGCCCTCCCATTGTACCCTTATCATTAATGTACTCTTCTCTGTCAGACAATAACCTGGAGCTTGGATTCACTGGTCAGGACCAGATGTAAAAACAAATTACTTTTTTGTAAGAAAGGGTTGAGAAGTTAAACTTGGAATAAGAGGAAATGCAAACATGTTTGGTTTTTCTAGGTCTTTGGGTCTGAAATAAAGTGTACTCATCTTTAAAAGTCAGGAAAACTATGAAGTATGAAACTGTCTTCTCCTTTTTAGGAAGTGAATCCCAGTGTCTCTGTAGATGGAATAAAAAGTAAATAGGATATAAACATCATAATAATTATTGCCACTTTTGTTATGAACACTAAACTGAGAAAAATTATAAATAACAACAAAAAAATGAGCATTAACTGGGCCCTTTTTCTTACAGTGACATATCACAACTTTCAAATTTGTGATGAGAAAAAGTTCCAACCACATGAGAATTTATGGGAGCTCTCCTGCAATAATGATGGTTCAGGTATAACAGGCCCCACTGTTGAATATCAAAATTTATCAATCTACACTTTATAGCTTCTAGACTGATTTTGGAATAAGAAAATTATCATTGGATAAGATCCTGTTTTTTAAAACAAAATGTGAAATCCTATCTATACAATAAAAGAATGTTGAGGAGATGGTCAGGATAGAGGACAAAACTTTGGAAATGTAATTAGCGTTGAGTCAGAAAATTTCAGGGACATTTGAGAAAAGTTTAGAATAAATTTGAGGATGTGTCTGAACAGTAAATCTGTAAACAGAAAGTGTATATTATTTTCTTTTTCTTTCACCTGTATCCGAAATAAGGTAAAAGAAAAAAAGAGTACAGAGTAGAGAATTTGGTAGTACCTCAGAAATAAACTACAAAGTCTTGGAAAAATGCTACATGATACTGGGAAATGGACTTTCTTCTTTGAGTTATAATTTCCTCACCATTAAATTGAGAGATTTTTGTTTTTTTTAAAGAAACTTCAAAGGCTAATATCGTATTATTCTTAGAAATTTTGCCAGTCTTTATACCTTGGTTGAGAATCCATTTTTAGGTAGCAAAAGAGACACTTGCTTAGGAGTCACCCAGGAAAAAATACATAGCTTTATTTTCTGCCCTTAATAATCTAAGAACAAATGAAAGGGTTCTATATCAATTGCATAACTTAAATAGATGGCATGTATTGTTGTATTGACTAGCACTGACATCTAGAAAATAAAGATATGTTCAACAGACAAGAAAAATGTTGTTTATATATTTACTGATATTGGAACTATCTAAAGTCTCAGTAAGATGTGGGGAATGAACAAGGATTTCTGAGGCTTCTGTTATCAATGCTGGTCTCCATAGGATCAGAAGAAATGTTATGTTTTCTTACTCAGTTCATTTGAGGCACTAACTGAAATTTCTCTTCTCCCAGGATCAGTGAAGAATTGCTGTCCATTGAACTGGAAACATTTTCAATCTAGCTGCTATTTCTTTTCTACAAACACCATGTCCTGGTTATCAAGTTCAAGGAACTGCTCAGGCACGGGAGCTCATCTGGTGGTTATCAACACACAGGAGGAACAGGTAATTGTAGTACAGGCTCCTCCAGTGTTGATGTCGTATTCTCCACATAATCCATCTCTTTTCCCATACATGGGCCAATGTTTGACTCAAACTACAATTTATTAAATAAACATAATTCAATGCATGCTGCTTCTAATACTTCTAATATTTGTTTTAATTTATCTTCATTACTAGATGAACCTAGCCAAAAGGTGATTTCCTTGTGGAGTTACACTATTATTTAGGGGAAAGAAAATTGGGAATTAATTTTAGAATAACCCTTTTGTTTATGAACATATCATATGAGAGAAGAAAGGCAACTACTATCCATTATTTTAAAATTATGATTACATGTGTTTTGTGCTATAGATAGACAAGAGATTTGACTATCTATAAAAGTAAATAAACTTTGAATTAATTGTTGAAATTCTCCTGTTGATTGTTACCTTTTAAGTTTAATTTTAATGTGTATTTTACTACAATAAAAAATTAGAAGGTGATCCTTGACGATATTACTATTTCAGACTCATTGATCTATCATTTCTTGTCTTGATCCTACTTTACCTCTTTCAATTGCAATAACTTGCAACATCTCTTCTGAAGTGAAATAGCCGATTTTCTCTTTTTTGATTTTATACCTTCCATAGGAATTCCTTTACCATGCAAAACCTGAAAAGAGAGAGTTTTTTATTGGACTGACAGACCAAGTGGTTGAGGGTGAGTGGCAATGGGTGGATGGCACACCTTTCACAGAGTCACTGAGGTAAGTGCCTTCCTGTAGGAAAATAACCACATTACCCACAGTCCTAAAGTTAGACCACTGTTGAGGGGCATTCTCAAAACTTTTTTGTTATTGTTGATACATGAAGAACATTCAGGTTGTATTCGATTCTGAAAGAGGAAAAACTTGTATAGAAGAGAGAAAAGAGGCACAATCTCTTACTTCTCCCATTTCCTGGAACTGTCTCAAGAATCAAGGAGAAATGATCAATGAAAATAGGAAGGAGATTAGAATGAAATATGTGCTCATTGAAGTTGCAAAAGAAAGAATAGAATACAATTTTATGCCCAAAAACTAGATAAGTGAAAAAAACAGTGTTTTGAGAAAGCATGTAAAACTTTTTTAAAATGGTTTTCCACTTATAATGTGAAAGTGGGAACCCTTTGATAATGTCCCTTTTCTCCTTAATAATTATATTGAATTATTAGAACACAGCACTTAAGTTTTTATCTCATTTGTTATTTCATTTTACCTAAATTATCCCTTGCTGAGAGACATCAATGTACTTAGTCTTCATCTAGCATTTGGGGAAGCTAAATGTCAAAGGATTAAATGTCTTACTCAGCTAATAAACTGCAGTTTTAAGAATAAAACCCAGAGGCTCAGATTCTCTAGAGAAGTTGCTTCATTACAGCACTGTAAAATTTAAGGGTGTACCTAAGTTAACACATACTCTGAGTAGAATAAAGAGAACCAACTTTAACATAAGGTAAGAATGCAAAGGAAATAAAGCCATTAGATAATCAAGCCTCCCCATAATTTCTCCTTATGGATCTAAAATCATGAAGAGGCATGACAGAATAGAAAGTTTAAAGAATCCAGTTCAGTTTTAAAACCCACAAATTCTATGAGTTGGACAAATGGTCTTGCTTTTCTGAGATTCCTTTTCTTCCCTGACAAAATAAAGATAATAATTTCTACATCACAAAATTATTGTAAATAACACAAATGTGGTTTGCCTTATGTATTCGGTCACTTTATTTCCTCTTGCTGGGATTTAAAATCTCCCATGTTGGTCTTTTTTCAGCTTCTGGGATGCAGGAGAGCCTAACAATTTAATTACGCTGGAGGACTGTGCCACCATCAGGGACTCTTCAAATGCAAGGAAAAACTGGAATGATATACCCTGTTTCTACAACATGTTTTGGATTTGTGAAATGCCAGAAATAAATGCTGCAAACTAACATAAATCTTTAAGAACTATTTGCATGACGTAAATATATAAATGATAAGGAACAAGAACATGAACATATCCATAGCCCAACAAGAGAAAATAGTCATTGTATACCATAAGGACTTCATAAGTATTCATTACTCAGATATAAATAAAACAAGTGTTTTTCAATGTTTTAATTTATGATGCTGACTGAAGTACATTCTCCTCCATGTTAGTTCCTCCTCTCAGAATTTTCAAAGCAATCCACTAGTCATGGGAATCAAGGAACTCTCCTTTTGATACACTCGCCTCATTGGTATTTATATGAAAGTACAGGGACACAGAGCAAGTACAGAGTAAAACAAAGAAGATTTTGGAAAATTCCTTTGAATGATTGCTTGGTTGTCCCTTTCTGGCTCCTGGAAAGCCTGTCTTTTCTCATGTTGTTTTTCATCTCCTGTCCAAACATACATCTTCTCTATGTTTTCCTGTATAATAACTAAGATGCATCTTCAAGTCATGAAATAAAATATATATTGATTTCTATGTTCCTCTGACTAAACTTTTCTGATGACTCCTATGTCATGTAAAACTTTTATTAAATGAATCTATATGGTTTCATTTTATTAATTTATCTTCTGTATTGGGACATCGGCCATGGATGTTGTGATTCATAAGGGGAAAAATTATTCATTTTTCTCCTATACAAAGAAATCATACAACATGATACTTTTTCAATATTAAATTTAATTTTATTTTTATTAAGTGAAAAATTAAAAATGTAAAGGTTCTAGAACTTCAAAAAAATGTATGTTTTATAGATTACCATATAAAACTTTTTCCTAAAATGTTGCTCTGTCTGGACTGGGGTGTAACTCAGAAGCAGAGCTCTTGCCTAGCATGTACAAGGTCTGGGTGGCAACTTATAAAAATAAGTTTCTCCGAAGTAAAGAAAAATTATAAAGAATCATGTAAAGTGTTCTTACTCTTGTATTTCTTCTTTCCAGTCCCTTTCCCTTTCTTGATGATGCAGTCTGATAATCATTCATTAGGTGGGGAGCAGGATCTTTTATATATGTATTTATGAGTAAAAGTCTTGCAATCAAGTTTAAAATTTTCTCCACAACCATGAAATTCATCTGGAAAAATAAGGGACCCAGAATAAAACAATTCTAAGCAGGAAGAGTGAAACATGTGGTATATCTATACCAGACCTTAAAGTATACTACAGAGCAATAGTAACAAAAATAGCATGTTATTGGCACCAAAACAGACTGGTAGAGCAAATATAGAATAGAGGACACAGAGGCTAACCCACAAAATTACAACTATCTTATATTAGACAAAGGTGCCAAAAGCATGAACTGGAGAAAAGTTAGCATCTTCAACAAATGGTTCTGGGAAAACTAGAAATACATATGCAACAAAATGAGATTAAATCCCTATCTCTCACCATGCACAAAAGTTAACACAAAATGGATTGAGGATCTAGGAATTAAACCAGAGACTCTGCATCTAATAGAAGAAAAAGTAGGCCCTAATCTTTACCACGTGGGCTAGGCCCCAACTTCCTTAATAAGATGCCTATAGCATAAGAATTAAAACCAAGAATCAATAAAAGGGACGGTTTCAAACTAAAAAGTTTTTTCTCAGGAAAAGAAACAATCTGTGAGGTGAACAGAGAGCCTACATCCTGAAAGTAGATTTTTACCCCTCACACATCAGATACAGCACTAATCTCTAGGGTATATAAAGAACTCAACAAGCTAAGCACCAAACAAAAAACAAAAAACAAATAATCCAATCAATAAATGGGCCAAGGACCTGAACAGACACTTCTCAGAAGAGGATATACAATCAATCAACAAATATATGAAAAAATGCTCATCATCTCTAACAATCAGAGAAATGCAAATCAAAACTACTCTAAGATTTCATCTCACTCCAGTCAGAATGGCAGCTATTATGAAGATAAACAACAAGTGTTAGCGAGGATGTGGGGAAAAAGGTACAGTCATACACTGCTGGTGGGACTGCAAATTGGTTCATCCAATTTGTAAAGCAATATGGAGATTCCTTGGAAATCTGGGAATGGGACCACCATTTGACCCAGCTATTCCTCTTCTCAGACTATACCCAAAGGACTTAAAAGCAGCATACTACAGGGACATAGCCACATCAATGTTTACAGCAGCACAATTCATAATAACTAAACTGTGGAGCCAGCATAGATGTCCTTCAGTGGATGAATGGATTTAAAAATGTAGCATTTATACACAATGGAATATTATTCATCAATAAAAATCATGGCATTTTAAAGTAAATGGATGGAGTTGGAGAAGATAATGCTAAGTGAAGTTAGTCAATCCCCCAAAATCAAATGCCGAATGTTTTCTCTGATATAAGAGGGGTGACTCAAAGTGGAGTAGGGAAGGAGAGCATGGGAGGAAGATTATTTCTAGATAGGAAAGAGCAGTGGGAAAGGGAGGGGAAAGAGGAATAGCAAGGATGGGGGAATGTGATGATCATCATTATACAAAATATATGTATGAAGATTTGAATTTGGTGTCAATGTACCTTATATACAAACAGAGATATGAAACATTGTGGTATATATCTGTATTAAGAATTGTGATGCAAAAGAAAATTACATGTATAATGGCAAAAAAAGAAAAAAGGGCTGGAGTTGTGGCTCAGCATTAGAGTGCTCACCTAGAGTGTGCGTCCCTGGGTTCAATCCTCAGCACCATGTAAAAGTAAATAAGTAAAAACAAAAGTGTACAAGTAAAAGAAAAAATATTTAATTTTTTTTCTCCAAAAAACTTGTACACATTTTGTCAAGTTTATTCCACTGTATATTTTTGTTGCTATTTTAAGCATAATGTTTTATTTGAAAATATTTTTTTGTATTTTATAGAGTATTGTATTGTCAATCTTTATATATTCATAATTTAGCCAGAAATATTTCTAAACTCCCCTATTTTTTAACATTTGGCCATATGGTCCCTGATATTTTCTATGTAGATATTTATACTCTCCATATAACTGAGCTAATAGTTCATTGGTCACTAGCCACAGGAGGCTATTGGGTATTATCCTAATTGAGATATACTAGAAATATAAAATACACATCAGATTTTTGAGAACTTGGAAAAAAACAACTATAGCACTAATAATTTTATATTGATTACATGATAAAAAGATAATCTTGGATATCATTTGAATATGTTGATTTAAATAGAATAAGTTTTTTGAATTAATTTCACCTGTTTCTTTTTATTGTTTTATATGAATTAAACATATATGGTTCATATTTTGGGCTTCCAGTATGTTTCCTTTAGACAGTTTTGGTATAGAAATAATGAGAATTTTACTTTTTGCCTAGAGTTTTATTTTTATATTAAGCTAGCTAAGATAACCAACACTTTATTGCATAAAAGCTGCTATTGTGAGCACTTATTTTGCTCTTGTTTTCTCTGATATAATATACTAATATTTTATATATTTTAAATATAATAATATTTATTATATTTACAAAGAAAGCTTCTAATAGTTAACATTGAGTAGAACAGCTGCTACAGATTTAGTGTAGGCACCCTTTAGAATATTCCTTTTATTCCTTATTTGTTAAAAAGTTGAAACTAAGTAGTTTATTGATTTTATTAGATGATACTTGCTATCTTTTAAATATGGTTTGACCATGTCCTCTGAAGTTGCATGTGCTGCAAACTTGGCCTCCAGAGTGGCAATGTAAGTAGTGGTGGAACTTTTAATAAGTGGGGCCTGAGGGAAAGTAATTAGGCCAGTTGAGAGCACTGCCCTTGGAAGATACTAATGTAGTTTTAGTGGTACTACATACATAACAATTTTAAGAGGTTAAAACAATGACTTCCTTTCTAATTTGAACTGTAGCTTTATAGCTCTAAAATATTTTAACAATATAAATGAATGGGTTAAAATGTGACTCTTTCCTTCATGTGAAAATGAAGACACCAATATAGTGGAACTCCAAATAAGTAATAAATTTTAACCGTTATCTAAGAGCCAAATTATCCCCAGTAACTTTCCTATAATTCCAAAGGGAATACATTTCATCTCTATTAAAAGATAGATCTCAGCCATAGTAATGATTATCATGAGCAAGCAATACAAAGGTGAGCTTTTTATCTTCCCAAGGATCTTTATCCTTCAATCCTATAGAATTGAAGGTATTTGGTTCAAGTGGCCAATAATGGGCTTTTCCACTAAAAATGATAATAAGTCAGTTTGATACATTCTGCTTTCAAAATTACTTAGAGTGGAGTAAGGAGGTTATTCATTGTTTTTCTATCTGTGCAGTACCATAATTTAGAACTGCTTTATACTGTGGTTCTGGAAATTTTTCACTCACAAATGTCAGTATAATGACATTACTTCAAAGTCTGAAAATGAAACATCAAACAATAAAAATATCACATAAATACTTCAAAGTCTGTGATACTTGGGTTAAAAAAAATGATTCACCACTACCAGTTAAGAATTCTAAGAGTTAAGAATTAAAACAAGAGAAAAATGACAAAAAGATTGCTTTATTCAAGTGATTCTGTTAGATATATAATCAATGCATACCAAACAAAAAGTAATTACCTGGAGATAGTATCAAGAAAGCAAAGATAATGAAACTGGTTCTCATGGAATAGATGATTCTTTCCATGAAAACACCATACAAAATCACATTATCTTGTGTACACACACACACACACACACACACACACACAATCTTGAATGAGTTGAACAAAAATAAATAAGGGCTTTCTGACTGAAAAATGCTCTATGACTCCACGTTTTCTCTGTTTGAATGATGCTTTACATTCTGCCCTGCTTGATTTGTTTTTTCTTTTCTGTTTCCATCACAAGGATCACTTTGTAGTTTTCTAGTTGAATACTGTTCCAGGTATCTTACAAATTCTACTTGTCTCAAAGTTACAAGGAAAATCATTCCAGGCCCATTTATCTTGGGCATTAACAATGACAACACAGTCTTCTTCCTGAAAGTTGTTAGGTTCATCCTCATGCCAGAATCTGAAAGAAAGAAGAAACAGAGAGAGATATAGATGATATGGATTACAGATATAGTTATCAGGGGACCATGTCAGAGAAAATGTCCATATTGAACATTTTAGAGCTGCACTATTTGATGTGACTCTTGAGCACCTATTGAGCACTTGAAATGTGACCTCTCCATATGAGATGTGTTTAAGTGTTGTGTACACCTTACTTTGAAAGCTTAGTACAAAAAGAAAGGGTTTAAACATCTTACTAATAGTTTTCTGTTAATCACACATTGAAACAAGATTTGGATTATTGGGTTAAATATATTATTCATGATTATTAAAGCATTATTAAAATAAATTTTACTATTTCTTTTTACTTTATTCTTGTGATTGCTAAAACATTGTAATTGTACTTTGTGATTTTGTTTATTTATATTAGACAATATTGGTTTCACAGAAGAA